CGCTAATTAATAAAACACGCCAGCTAGCAGAAGCCAACGTGCCATGTGATGGCTGCCCGAAGCAGACTCTGCTGTCAAGTAGCAGGTTCGCATCACAACCCGTCCACAATCCACAGCACAAATGATGCCCGAAGAACTGCGGCGTGTGTTGGCTGTCCTCCTGTACAAGTCATCGCTTCAAAACGCGGTAACCAAAGCAATGCAGCCCAGAGTTTGCACATCCAGCCCGAAGCGGGCGGTAGCTCAGGACCCGAGATTACTTGGCATACCCGAATTCGTAGTAACGAACGCCTTGCAGTCCAATGGCAAGATGAGTAACCAAGTGGCGGAAACCGATCCCCAGCCATGCAAGCTGAGACTCCACAACAGCCATCATCTCCCCTGTGCATGGATTGTCCAGAACACGCAAGTCCAACATACCCACAGTCAATAAGAATAGGCAGTACGAAAAAGCGCACCACCCACCCATGGCTAGAGGCGGCCGAGAGCGCGATTTAAGGCGAAGCTACAAAGGNNGTATTCAGCATGACAGTTGGTACCCGCAGGCTGAAGCTTGTTCGTGCTCCTCTTTCTGCCTTGCAGTCTAGCCATCAGCCGGAGCAACGCTCAAACACGCAACAATACCCCATCAACCGCGTGCCAGAATTCACGAACATCATCCTCAGAGCATCCTAACACACCGTACTACCGTGAAGCCTGGTTTGGAGTCTAAAGGTTCAGGCCTTGGGGTTTAGGGAATTATAAGTAATTCGGGGTTTAGCAGAGTAGTTATTAGTTGTCAACTTTTAATTTAGCGATTGGAGGTTCGGCAGTTGTGAACCCGGCGAAAAAACAAAAAACTCCTAATGCGGCACACAAAATCTTGAGGTGACGGATCTTAGACCCCAACTAAACGCACAGAAGGGGCCCTTGGTTTGACAGGCGCGCGTATGGACAGCACCCTTCCCCTTATGATAGTTGAGCATCAAACCCCCTAATAAATGTTGACAGTGTCCCCCTACGATGGATGTTGTGCTGCTCTAGTAAATATTTTATATCAGAGGCGAGGGAGCGTTCAATACTAGGTGGAAGCGCTTAAATCTAACCTCTCAGCTGAACCCCAAACTCTACTTGAGATCCCGATATCCATACACCTTGAAGCTAAACACTAAAAATGTTGATACCAAAAATCCTGCATGACCCCAAGTACACTGTACCGTAGGAAGTAAGCATTGCGGAAGATGAAGGTCATGCTGATTGCCAAGTACCCTAGCCCTAAACCTCACAGCCTGGAACCTAAATCCTGAATCCTGAGCCTAAACCCTAACTCCCACTTCCAAAGCCTAGACCCTGAACCCCACACCCCAAACCCTCAACAGCATGACTCTTCGTGGTCATCGAAAGTCTGAGTTCTGAGCTGAAGGTTCTCTGGCATTCTTCATCTCCTCCATCATGGAAAAGGGCTTAGGGTGTAGGGTTTAGGGTTTAGGGCTTAAGGTGTAGGGTTTAGGGCTTAGGGTGTAGGGTTAGGGTTTAGGGTGTAGGGTTTAGGGTTTAGGGTGTAGGGTGTAAGGTCAAAGGTCCCCCGTCATAGCAGAACCCCCCCAACAGCATATATTACATAAATGTACATGTTCCTGATATATTGCAGTTCTTACATATTGGGTGATGATTTTTCATTGAGGGTGTCAGTGCCGGGGGCGTTGTTGTTGGTGAGCTTCTTGGCTCCAAAAATCCTGAAGCCCTTTCTAGGGGCTAGGTCCAATGTAGGGTTCTTGGTGCTGAAAATTTGTTTTACAAATTTGTGCTTGACAGGATTAAGGTCTAAAAGCTCAAAGGGTTCAGACATGGGACCTTCAAGTTCAAGATCTTTTGAATTCTTGAAGAACTAGAACCCTGCTCTAGTAATGAAGGCCCCGAGAGCCCCTCATGCTAGGGGTCCCTCCCAATCAGGAATCCTAAGCCCTAAACCCTAGCCTAGGGTTTAGGGTTTAGGGCCCTGAACCCTAAACCTGCAAGATGCAACCGGCCTCAACGAAGGTGAACTGGCCATTGGCGTCTTTTTCTTCGAGGAGAATTGGATTGTTGTCCATTATCCGCTTGTCGTGGAGATAGGAGTCCTCAGTCCCAGGCAGATATAATACGTTATATGTTAGGGTTTGGGGTTTAGGGTTTTGGGCTCAAGGGGGCGGTGAGGACACGTCATGGCCTATCAAGCTAAAGCATGATATCTTGTCAATCAATCCGACATTCTACATAACGTGGCGTGTCGTAGATGCCTGCTTGGCTGGACTTGGTATGCCCCATGACTAACATACTTACTGAGTACCCTTGACCCTCCATGTAGGGCATTGCAAGCGCAGAAGCCCGTCCACTGAGGACGCGGCAAGCTCCTCTTCCAACGACGCGAACGGCCGGTTGTCAAAGAAATCCCAAATTCGCACCTTACAGGTACGGTTGATACTGAAAGTCCTGCATGACTCTGAGTACCTACCCTGGAAATTATGGTATTGAGCATACTGAGGTCATACAGAAGTTTTAGTATCAACAGATACCAGTAGCACCAGGTGCAACGGGCTTGGGGCTTATGGTTTCGAGCTTAGGATGAAATTAGCTACAGTCAACATTTCCTACATAGTTTAATGGACATGGGTTCGTTCAGGGTTTATAGGCCTCCTTGAATCTTCAGAAGAATCCAACTGGCAAACCCCTCCATGATGAACAAGAAAGATTCACTACCCTAACCTCCAATTGAGGATCCTATGACTGTCATATGACTCTTCTGGGGGTCCTTCTTATAGAGGTGGGGGTTGCCACTATCCTGAAACCTATCAGACCCCAAATCTTGAAGTCGATATGTCACCATAGCCCCCTTTAAGGGTCCTTGAAATAGGGTTGGGGCCGGGGTGACCAAAACCCTCTAAACCCTCAACCCAAGTTATCTCGCCAAGACGCATCCGCAGGCTCTAAGTCCATCTCGGTACAGAGCCTCTCCTGAGGGTGTAGGGTTTAGTTTAGGGTTTAGGCTTGAGAGATTATACAGAAATAGAAGAGGTACCTCTGGGCCGTATGTCCACTGTGTTCAGCGTCCCTTAATAAGGCAATAAGGTCAATAATGACCATAGCTCGTATACGGAAAGCATGGGGTAACAAGAAGGTATCACTAAACCCCTGAACCCAGTGGTACACGCGGGATCAAATAAGGAAGTGGACTCACAGCTTTAGGTTCTAGGCCCCTAAACCCCTACTCTCTGGGCCCCAAACACCAGAACCCTCCGCTTGTGGGTTAATTCCACCTGTCAAGTTGTCCAAAGCTTTGCTTTGTGAGGCCCTAAATCCTGAATAGCCGAATCGTGAAACTCAAAACCCTACCCCCTGCGCACAGGCGAGGCTAACAGGAACAGCCGCTGGCGCCTTGAGTTCCCTGATGGTGGAGTACTTGGACTCGATTATCTGCGACGGGCCAAGTAATGCAGCACTCCAATTACTTGCTGGGGGTTAGTGGGGAATATGGGAATATATTATATAGGGTATATAGGGATTGTATTCCCTTATTCGCTAGTAACCACCAGTAAGAATTGCGTGCGGGTTCTGGATTGTGCGGAGTTTGGGCGAAAGGATTCAGCTCCCCAAAGTGATTTGAGATTGCTGCTTGGTGACTGTGTAAGTTCCGTGCCCCCTAAGAAACTATTGGGTGGCAAGCCCATGGGTTGGAAGTCTGAGCCCATGCAGCTGGTCCTATTGAACCGATTGAAAACAACAGTAATTAGCAATAATAATAAGAGTAATAACAGTAATAAGAATAATCATCATAGAAATACAAATAATAATAATTCAAATAACAACAATAATAATAACGATAATAGTAATAACTATAATAATGATTACCAAACGAATTTGGGGCACCTTCTCCTCCTCCTCGTTCTCCTCAATCAGGCCCCTATTTCGCTTGGGGGGGTCTAGTAGAATGATCACAACCCCGCATTGGTCATGGGAGCAGTGGTAGAGATGATAACAACAATAGTCCTGAAATCCAATGAAACGGAAGATGGTACTAACCTACTGGTTACTAGCAAGCAAGAATGACTCTGAAGTCCAGGACTCGTTGTACTAACAGTACCTGTGGCAACCCTTGACCTTAAACCACGAAAACTTCTAGCAGCATAGAAAAACCCAGCGGTTGCACAGACAGGTCGAGATGATCTCCGAGAGCCTCCTTCGGCAGACCGTTCATGTCGGAAGATCGGTATGCCTGGATTAGAATTTTCAAAATTGGAGGCCCCGTTCTGGGAGTACCTATAATAAGGATTACAATACACTAGGGCTTGGTCTATATCATGGCCTCTTAATTATGGAAACCCTGGATGAGGCAGTGTTGGAAAGACCCTGGAAATATGTAAGGCTCTTTAATGATGCTTATAGATTATGAAGTTCAGGAATTTATGGAACTCCTGAACTTTGAAAAGAATGCAGCAGAGGACAGAACAGTATGCAGTTTTGAGACTGCCTATCAGCTCACCCCTTAAGCTTCCCCAAAAGCTCTCTTGTAGCTTTGCCCTCCGAGACCCACACCCCCCCCCCCAATAAGAACCCAAGACGTAATTTCCCTAAATAAGGGGACCTCAACCTAGACCACCAAACACTACATAATCCTTATTATAGGTACCCCAAGGCCCAAAAACAGGTACCCATGATTTGGGGAAACCCGAAAAATGTGTGCCTTCAAGGTGAGGCCGAAGAGTTCCACCATCACGCCTGCAAGAGGGATTTTGAATTTAGGCTGTGGGGCTTTGGGATCGGAATCTAGGCATAATCTCATTCTGGGATGGCGGTGATCAACACACTACTAGTTTCCATGTTTACTTCTCCGGAGCTGCGCTTCTCCCCGCAACCCTAATCCCCTTACCCCAAACCCTAAACCCTCTTTGCCTCCGTTGGCCTCTCTAATCGCGCGCCGCTTGATTGGAGGTCCACCGCCTGACGCATGACTGCGCGGAACTTTGGTATAGGGGTTTAGGGTTTAGGGTTCAGGGGGTTAGGGGGGGGCTGTTAGTATTTTTGTTAAGATTGCATGCCTCTGTTTAGAAAAGAACTACCCGAAATATCCGTTGCGCATCATTCCTGTTCTGACTATGATGCTTGAACAGGTATAGGGCAGAACATACCAAATTTACACCCAGGCAGTCGAGTCACCAGCATTCATGGAGTCCCAGAAAAGAAACCCCATCATACACAGCAAGTTCCAAAAAAAGTCCCGGGTAGCTATCTATGAGACAGACATAGTACATTGGGGTTCTGACACGTTTTGGATGATTCGACCAATCGCTATGTAAGCCCAACATGAGAACAGTAAGATGGGAAATCCCTCAAAGTTCTGACTTTTCCATGTCCTTCTCCATCTGATTTTCCTTCTGGGGGCTATAACTTGTATGGATATCCGTATATATTCCCTAAACCATACATCCCTAAACCCTCAAACCCAACCCCTGATGTTGCTGAGGGATGCACCATACCATTCGTAGAGCAGGTCCCAAGCATCCTTCCCGCCGTACAGAGACGTCATGATATTGGGACAATGGAAAAGAAAATGGAAAAATGGAAACTATTATAATAGGTTATATAGGGATAATGGAGAAACTATAATGGGTTGTATGGGGATGATGGAAAAGAAAGTGGAAACTACTATAATGGGTTCCCAATACAAACTACTATTTAGGGTTTAGGGTTCAGGAAAGATGTGTGGGCTTCGGGGTTTAGGGTTCGGCTTCAGGGTTTGAGGTAGAGTCTTCAGAGTTTTGGGTCCAGGCTTTTTTTATGGGGCTTAAAGGAGAGTGAACCAGAGGATTCCTATGACAATCCGTATAGAATCCCCTAAAACACTCCCCACATTCACTTCATCCGGTGGATGCTAAAAATCCTGCATGACCCTAAGTACCTCATATTTTGGGAATAACGGTACTATAGTATAGTAAGGTCATGCAGGATTTTTAGTATCAACAGTCCCTCCCCCAGCACCACCAAGTAAGTTTGAAACCTGGGACCCTGTCCTCCGGGACAATCTCGTAATCGGCATGCTCACTCAGAGAGCGTTTCATGGCGGTCGCCGAGCCGACCTGCTGTGGCGCAACAACCAAGACGAAACATATAATAGAAGTTATACGTCAGGAGGACCCCCCCACCCTGCAATAGCGGTATTAGAAGGAATATAAGAAGGCCCCAATATAATCCTTATTATCCAATCGAAACGAAACAGAATGTGCAAAATGGAATGCAAACTGGGACTGTGGTTTATAGGGATTGGGATTTACCAAAACTGGGGGCGACCGCCAATGATATCTAAACATGGCTCGCGGCATTTCAGGGGAAACCACAGAATGAACAGAATGAACAAACCAAAGATGGTGCCATTGATGTCAGCCCTGGCAGTCACTTCAATGCCTATAAACCCTAAACTACAGTTCAACACCCTCAGCCAAGCATCAAAACCCATGATTCCAAACTCTGAATCCTAAACCTTGCTCTTAAACCCTAAAGCCTAACCCTAAACCCTAAACCCTTGGCGTACCTCTAGGAGATCTCGATTATCAATCTCGCCCGGGCGATCTTTGGTCCAGGAATGGGTACGCCTGGGTCACCGGCCAGGAGAACAGCTGACTTCTGTGAATCAAACCGCAGAGAACTGGTTTAGGGTTTTGGGCTTAGGGTTTAAGGGTTTGGGGCTTAAGGGTTTGGGTTTAGGGCTTGGTACTGGTAAGAATAATCCAGGCACCAGGACAATCCATGGTAATGGCGCACTGAAGAATTATGATGGCCGCAGCCGCAAAATGAAGAATAACAACTATAGTCCCCCTGAAGCACATAGAATATGGGTATATGGGGATCTTATTACAATATACCCAAAGCCATATTCAAATTCTATCTACTTCAAGGGGACAATAACCCTAAATCCAAAACCCTGAGCACCAGAAGTCAAGTGAATAGTGGCAGGCAGTAGGAAAACAAATGGTCAAATGCAAAGTCGTAGTCAACAGGACGAACGTGTAGGGACACTAACAGCAGACGGGATAACAGTGAACTACATTGGGTTCAGGGTTTAGGGTTTAGGGGATAGTTAGGGTTTGGGGTTTAGGGGGATAACAGTGAACTAAATAGGAAGATCATGTCGTCTAACAAAAAGACTCTAATAATAACCGGAAGGGTCATAGCAATTCCACGAATAACGGTATTAGAAACAGTAAGTGTGGTCGTAATAGTACTTGTAGTAATATTTGTAGGGGTATTGGTATTTGTAGTAGCATCCGTACCAGTAATGTAACAAGAGGGGACTCTTTAGGGACGTAACCCTAGTATACTGTAATCCTTAGTATGTGGGCCTCCAAAACAAGATCCTAACTTTTCGAGACCCCCACATTCTTTCTACACTAAGACCTCAGGCACTGAACCCTAAACCCCAAGACCCTAAGCCCTTGTAACCCTGAACCCCTTAACCCTAAATGCTACCCCCAGAACATTTGAGCTACAGTCTTGACTCCTAGTACCCCCCTTTATGAACCCCATATCATCTCAGGCATCTGGGCTGGCATTCATTTGTTGTACTCGGTCAATGAAGCAGGCTCCTCTACTCGCTGCGGCCCTTTGGCAATCCCCATACACTATACAATCCCCTACCAAAAAAACTGTTTAAGGAGTTTTGCCTATAGCTTCTTTGAACCCTTGAGGAGCCGGCGGCCTCAGACCATCCGTAGAGCCTCCGGCGCTTCCCTGCGAGAGGTCGAGGCCTGAGGAAGAGCCGGAGCTCACGAATTTTCCAGAGGTTCTAGGATTCAGGGTTTTGAGGGTTTAGGGTTTAGGGGTGTAGGGTTTGACCTGCAGGGTTTGCGGTTTGGGATTTATTGTTTAGGGTTTGGGATTCAGGATTTTCGGGTTTGAGATTCAATTAGAATCTAAACTGTTTTGAAATCCCAGGCCGTCATTGCCAGGGTTAGGGTTGGGGTTTAGGGTTTGGGGTTCAGGGTTTAGGATTTAGGGTACAGGCTTAGGGTTTGGGGTTCAATGACCTTGCAGCTACGATGATATATACTTGCGAACTTGCAATGGGGTCAGACATACAGCTTCCGCTCCTCCAAAAGACGTCTCCATGCAATAAGCGCAATTCTGCCAATTGTCATTGCCATTGCCATTGCCCTAAACCCTAAACCCTAAACCTTAAACTAAACACTCTAAACCCTGCCCTCTTTGGCACAGATTTTGCATAACTATTGTGAACAAATCAGATCCAACGACAGAACTCAGGGCTGTCATCACTCGTTACCATTGCAATTTGGGCACTGCCCCCACCCAGTAACAGTCTATATTAGGGGTCCTATTAGGGGCTATATATAACCATATACAATTCTTATCCAACTGTTACTGAGTGGAGGCAGTATCC